CCTCTGGGAGTGTCCCAGGGGCTACTGCCAATCCTGCCTCTGGTGGCACCTGGGTGGGTCCCTGGGGACAGTTGTTTTTTGTGCTATTTAGAGCTCTGGTAGATGCGACTACAATGCCCATTATAACATTTCTACTATTATTGCTTCCTTAACAGCAGAATGGAGAGCAATATCCAACAGGAAAACATAAGTTTGGGTGTTGTGCTAACTGACTGTTCTCTTCTCCCATTGGCTGTAATTTGGTGGGTATACGGCCAATAGGAGAAGAGAACAGTCAGTCAGCACAACACCCCAACTTATGTTTTCCTGTTGGCTATCCTTCTCCATTCCATTGTTCACAATGAAATCGAAAATAATATACAACAGGAAAACATAAGTTTGGGTGTTGTGCTGACTGACTGGTCTCTTCTCCTATTGGCTGTAATTTGGTGGGTACACAGCCAATAGGAGAAGAGAACACTTAGTCAGCACAACACCCCAACTTATGATTTCCTGTTGGGTATTATTCTCCATTCCGTTGTTCACAATGGCATGGAGAATAATATCCAACAGGAAAACATAAGTTGGGGTGTTGTGCTGACTGACTGGTCTCTTCTCCTATTGGCTGTAATTTGGTGGTTATACATTTCAGTCCACCAATCACATTTAAGTATGGAATTGATGGGCGCATCCCAGAGGTCCTTGAACAGCTGTGAGGGTCTCAGAGGCTCCTGCCACCTCTGGGAGGGTCCAGGGGTATTTGACACCCTTAGGAGGGTTCCAGGGGCTTTGCCGTCTCTGGGAGGGTCACCAAAAGTCCCCGCCACCTGTGGGAGTATTCTAGTGGTCCCTGCCGCCCTTAGAACGATCTCAGGGATCACCACCGCTCCTGGGAGGGTCTGAGGGGCTCCCTGTCCCCCTCCCCCTCGCACCTAGGAGGGTTGCAAGAGCCCCCACCGATCTTGGGAGGGTTCCTGGGGCCCCCGTTTTCCGTGGTTGGGTTCCAGAGGGCCCCGCCAGCCCTGCGATGGTCCCTGAAGACCCCACTGCCCCTGTAAGGGTCCTCGCTGCATCTGGAAGGGTCTCAGGGGCCCTCGCTGCCTCTGGGAGGAGCCCTGGGGACCCCGCTGCCTCTGGAAAGGTCCCTGGAGCCCTCGACGCCTCTATAAGGGTCCCAGGGGCACCTGTTACCTCTGGGAGTGTCCCAGGGGCTATCGTCAATCCTGCCTGTACCGGGACCCCAGGTACGGGTCCCTGGGGGCAGTTGTTTTTTGTGCTATTTAGAGCTCTGGTAGATGCGACTACAATGCCCATTATAACATTTCTACTATTATTGCTTCCTTAACAGCAGAATGGAGAGCAATATCCAACAGGAAAACATAAGTTTGGGTGTTGTGCTGACTGACTGTTCTCTTCTCCTATTGGCTGTAATTTGGTGGGTATACAGCCAATAGGAGAAGAGAACAGTCAGTCAGCACAACACCCCAACTTATGTTTTCCTGTTGGCTATCCTTCTCCATTCCATTGTTCACAATGAAATAGAAAATAATATACAACAGGAAAACATAAGTTGGGGTGTTGTGCTGACTGACTGTTGTCTTCTCCCATTGGCTGTAATTTGGTGGGTATACAGCCAATAGGAGAAGAGAACAGTCAGTCAGCACAACACCCCAACTTATGTTTTCCTGTTGGCTATCCTTCTCCATTCCATTGTTCACAATGAAATCGAAAATAATATACAACAGGAAAACATAAGTTTGGGTGTTGTGCTGACTGACTGGTCTCTTCTCCTATTGGCTGTAATTTGGTGGGTACACAGCCAATAGGAGAAGAGAACACTCAGTCAGCACAACACCCCAACTTATGATTTCCTGTTGGATATTATTCTCCATTCCGTTGTTCACAATGGCATGGAGAATAATATCCAACAGGAAAACATAAGTTGGGGTGTTGTGCTGACTGACTGGTCTCTTCTCCTATTGGCTGTAATTTGGTGGGTATACATTTCAGTCCACCAATCACATTTAAGTATGGAATTGATGGGAGCATCCCAGAGGTCCCTGAGCAGCTGTGAGGGTCTCAGAGGCTCCTGCCACCTCTGGGAGGGTCCAGGGGTATGTGACGCCCTTAGGAGGGTTTCAGGGGCCTTGCCGCCTCTGGGAGGGTCCCAAAAGTCCCCGCCACCTGTGGGAGTATTCTAGTGGTCCCTGCCGCCCTTAGAACGATCTCAGGGATCACCACCGCTCCTGGGAGGGTCTGAGGGGCCCCCTGTCCCCCTCCCCCTCGCACCTAGGAGGGTTGCAAGAGCCCCCACCGATCATGGGAGGGTTCCTGGGGCCCCAGTTTTCCGTGGTTGGGTTCCAGAGGGCGCCGCCAGCCCTGCGATGGTCCCTGAAGACCCCACTGCCCCTGTAAGGATCCTCGCTGCATCTGGAAGGGTCCCAGGGGCCCTCGCTGCCTCTGGGAGGAGCCCTGGGGACCCCGCTGCCTCTGGAAAGGTCCCTGGAGCCCTCGACGCCTCTATAAGGGTCCCAGGGGCACCTGTTACCTCTGGGAGTGTCTCAGGGGCTATCGTCAATCCTGCCTGTACCGGGACCCCAGGTACGGGTCCCTGGGGGCAGTTGTTTTTTGTGCTATTTAGAGCTCTGGTAGATGCGACTACAATGCCCATTATAACATTTCTACTATTATTGCTTCCTTAACAGCAGAATGGAGAGCAATATCCAACAGGAAAACATAAGTTTGGGTGTTGTGCTGACTGACTGTTCTCTTCTCCTATTGGCTGTAATTTGGTGGGTATACAGCCAATAGGAGAAGAGAACAGTCAGTCAGCACAACACCCCAACTTATGTTTTCCTGTTGGCTATCCTTCTCCATTCCATTGTTCACAATGAAATCGAAAATAATATCCAACAGGAAAACATAAGTTTGGGTGTTGTGCTGACTGACTGGTCTCTTCTCCTATTGGCTGTAATTTGGTGGGTATACAGCCAATAGGAGAAGAGAACACTTAGTCAGCACAACACCCCAACTTATGTTTTCCTGTTGGCTATCCTTCTCCATTCCATTGTTCACAATGAAATCGAAAATAATATACAACAGGAAAACATAAGTTGGGGTGTTGTGCTGACTGACTGTTCTCTTCTCCCATTGGCTGTAATTTGGTGGGTATACAGCCAATAGGAGAAGAGAACAGTCAGTCAGCACAACACCCCAACTTATGTTTTCCTGTTGGCTATCCTTCTCCATTCCATTGTTCACAATGAAATCGAAAATAATATCCAACAGGAAAACATAAGTTTGGGTGTTGTGCTGACTGACTGGTCTCTTCTCCTATTGGCTGTAATTTGGTGGGTATACAGCCAATAGGAGAAGAGAACACTCAGTCAGCACAACACCCCAACTTATGTTTTCCTGTTGGCTATCCTTCTCCATTCCATTGTTCACAATGAAATCGAAAATAATATACAACAGGAAAACATAAGTTGGGGTGTTGTGCTGACTGACTGGTCTCTTCTCCCATTGGCTGTAATTTGGTGGGTATACAGCCAATAGGAGAAGAGAACAGTCAGTCAGCACAACACCCCAACTTATGTTTTCCTGTTGGCTATCCTTCTCCATTCCATTGTTCACAATGAAATCGAAAATAATATACAACAGGAAAACATAAGTTTGGGTGTTGTGCTGACTGACTGGTCTCTTCTCCTATTGGCTGTAATTTGTTGGGTACACAGCCAATAGGAGAAGAGAGCACTCAGTCAGCACAACACCCCAACTTATGATTTCCTGTTGGATATTATTCTCCATTCCGTTGTTCACAATGGCATGGAGAATAATATCCAACAGGAAAACATAAGTTGGGGTGTTGTGCTGACTGACTGGTCTCTTCTCCTATTGGCTGTAATTTGGTGGGTATACATTTCAGTCCACCAATCACATTTAAGTATGGAATTGATGGGAGCATCCCAGAGGTCCCTGAGCAGCTGTGAGGGTCTCAGAGGCTCCTGCCACCTCTGGGAGGGTCCAGGGGTATGTGACGCCCTTAGGAGGGTTTCAGGGGCCTTGCCGCCTCTGGGAGGGTCCCAAAAGTCCTCGCCACCTGTGGGAGTATTCTAGTGGTCCCTGCCGCCCTTAGAACGATCTCAGGGATCACCACCGCTCCTGGGAGGGTCTGAGGGGCCCCCTGTCCCCCTCCCCCTCGCACCTAGGAGGGTTGCAAGAGCCCCCACCGATCATGGGAGGGTTCCTGGGGCCCCAGTTTTCCGTGGTTGGGTTCCAGAGGGCGCCGCCAGCCCTGCGATGGTCCCTGAAGACCCCACTGCCCCTGTAAGGATCCTCGCTGCATCTGGAAGGGTCCCAGGGGCCCTCGCTGCCTCTGGGAGGAGCCCTGGGGACCCCGCTGCCTCTGGAAAGGTCCCTGGAGCCCTCGACGCCTCTATAAGGGTCCCAGGGGCACCTGTTACCTCTGGGAGTGTCTCAGGGGCTATCGTCAATCCTGCCTGTACCGGGACCCCAGGTACGGGTCCCTGGGGGCAGTTGTTTTTTGTGCTATTTAGAGCTCTGGTAGATGCGACTACAATGCCCATTATAACATTTCTACTATTATTGCTTCCTTAACAGCAGAATGGAGAGCAATATCCAACAGGAAAACATAAGTTTGGGTGTTGTGCTAACTGACTGTTCTCTTCTCCTATTGGCTGTAATTTGGTGGGTATACAGCCAATAGGAGAAGAGAACAGTCAGTCAGCACAACACCCCAACTTATGTTTTCCTGTTGGCTATCCTTCTCCATTCCATTGTTCACAATGAAATCGAAAATAATATACAACAGGAAAACATAAGTTGGGGTGTTGTGCTGACTGACTCTTCTCTTCTCCTATTGGCTGTAATTTGGTGGGTATACAGCCAATAGAAGAGAACACTCAGTCAGCACAACACCCCAACTTATGTTTTCCTGTTGGATATTATTCTCCATTCCGTTGTTCACAATGGCATGGAGAATAATATCCAACAGGAAAACATAAGTTGGGGTGTTGTGCTGACTGACTGGTCTCTTCTCCTATTGGCTGTAATTTGGTGGGTATACATTTCAGTCCACCAATCACATTTAAGTATGGAATTGATGGGAGCATCCCAGAGGTCCCTGAGCAGCTGTGAGGGTCTCAGAGGCTCCTGCCACCTCTGGGAGGGTCCAGGGGTATGTGACGCCCTTAGTAGGGTTTGAGGGGCCTTGCCGCCTCTGGGAGGGTCCCAAAAGTCCCCGCCACCTCTGGGAGAATTCTAGTGGTCCCTGCCGCCCTTAGAACGATCTCAGGGAGCACCACCGCTCCTGGGAGGGTCTGAGGGGCCCCCGCCGCACCTAGAAGGGTGACAGGAGCCCCTGTTGCCCATGAAAGGGTCCTCGCCGCATTTGGAAGGTTCACAGTGGCCCCCTTCGCTCCTGGGAGGGTCCCAGGAGACCCCACTGCATCTGGGAAAGTCCCAGGGGCCTCCGTCGCCTCTGGAAGGGTCCCAGGGGCCCCTGCTGCTTCTGGGAGTGTCCCAGGGGCCCCTGCCACCCCTGGGAGGGTGTCTGTCACACCTGGCTGGGTACCTGGGGGGGCCCTGTCAGGGACAGCGGCGCCCCCGGGGGTAATTTGAGGGGCGGTGGCGCTACCAAGTACAGTACAGTACAGTACAGCCTGTACAGCATAGTATAGTACAGTACAGTATAGTACTGTATAGTATAGTAAAGTCTATAGTATAGTACAGTACACCATCTCTCATTCCTTTGTTGTTGGGCTGCTAATAGACAAATTGTTTTGCATTTTTTATTTGTGTTTTCACACCACAATATACAGTTTCCAGTAAGTATACAATATGTACAACTTTTATTGTTATCTTAAGCAAGATAAGAAGAGAGAAAGAGACTTTGTTTCTGAATACAGTACAGGTTGAGGTGAAATTCATGTCTGAGAAAGGCAGGAATATTGGCACAATTCAGAAGAGATGCCATTCTGTCTGTCAACATTTTGACTGTTCATACCTTGGATAATCACCTGTTAGCACTCAGATGTATTCATATAAACGGTGATAAATTAGTGCAGCAAAAGCTTTTAACAGGTTTGGTGAATTTCCACTACAGTTGTGCCCTTGAAAAATGACGCCATGTTCTCGGTGTTGAGTTTGTGAAGATGTTATAGCTTCAACTTGAGAACCGTTTAGGTGAATCAAAATGAAGTTATGATGTGCGGAGCCTCAATATTGTCTTCTAGTGCTTGGTGAAACTTTCTGAATCATAAAACAGTTGAATAGACAGAATTAGGAAAATAAACTAAGTTTTTTAATTTCCAGATGAAACTACAGGAAAATGATCCTCTTGGACACAAGTAATAGGAGAGATCCATGACTGCATCCTTTAGAATCCTTTAAGATGAAGAGTGAAAACACATCCCTAACTCCAAGACAAACAAGATATATACTTAGACATGTGAATAAATGCTTTTATTTACATCATATAATCTATGTTTATAACAATATCAAGAAAGTGCTCATATACCATCCAAGAAGAAAGTATTCAAACACAGTTGGCTGCTCCACAGTGTAATCAGTTCCTCCATCAAGAATACCTCACTAAACTAATACAGTTTTACTTAATACTCTTAGTGACAGTTCATCAAACATTATTGTACTGTACATTATTGATAAGAACATGTGTCATGCACCACAGTGGAGCCAATTGATCTTTCAAGAAGAAAAGCTCAAAGTTTCAGACTGAGTTAAGTACAGAATGTTGCCACATTAATGTTGACCTCATTACTCAATTGCAAATAGATTCTGAATGTTTTGCTGCTAGTGGTAAAGATGAGCTCTTACACATTGAACTTTATCTCATATGTATTGATTTTCTCTCTGATACTTTATTTTAAGATTATTTACATAATGGTCACATGCACAACACAAACACACATCCATTCACCCACATTAACATGCCATCAATGGTGCTGACAAAGTACTGTCAATGGTCTCGGAGCTTGTGAGAAAATCTTCAGAAATTCAAGTTGGTTCTCAAAATTTTAGTTGTTAATTTTTGGGCAAAATAATGTACCAAATGTTGCAGACTTTACTGTACAATAATATAAAGGGTGAAATAATGAATAATAACACAACATCAAAACATAAAATGGAAATAGAGTACAGTTGTGAAATGTGCAGGAAATATATAGTATGTCTTTCAAATGAAATAAGTAATATATTTAATGTGAGAGTTAACAAGAGCACGGTCTTACACTATCCTTGGCCACAAAACTTTACCGATGTTACAAAAAAAATATATACACAACACACATACCATAGAAATTTTCCATACCCTTTAATGCATGAAATTAGTTTAGTGGGTACAACAGGAGAAACATTACAGGAGCAACTAGTGGTTTTGTTTGAAACATTATTAGTGACTGCCACTAACATTAAGAGGTTATGTATCACTTACCTCGTCACAGTCAAGGTTACAGGGGAAGAAAGTATGAGCACAGTACTTGTGTCTGTATCTCTTCTCTCAATATTGATGAGAAATGTGACCCCCAATATTTAGCGAGAAATATAACAACTTTATACTCAAATGTTGACCGTAAAATACAGCCCAGTACAGCATTTCAGAGCCTGATATGTCTTACACATCACTTATATAAGGTAGTATTTCACATGATTCAAGCCACATATATAAGTTACATATGGTAGTATACGAGTTGATCTCATGTCACATATGCATATTAATTATATAAGGTAGTACGTAACATGTACCATAACTCAGTTACATAAGGTAGTACTGTACTGTACATGATTCAGTAACTCACAGTCCATGAGTTACATAAAGTAGTACTGTACATGATTCAGTAACTCACAGTCCATGAGTTACATAAAGTAGTACTGTACATGATTCAGTAACTCAGTCCATGAGTTAAATATGGTTGTACTGTACATGATTCAGTAACTGACAGTCCATGAGTTACATAAAGTAGTACTGTACATGATTCAGTAACTCACACATGTGACTTAGTTGGGTAAGGTTGTTCCTCACATGATCCCAAAAGTCACGATGACAGTTTGTCATAAAACACATACTGAGCAACGAACACTACTGCATCTTCCTAAACTTACAAATATCTTTGCTTCTATATACATAGCAATATACAATAGTTTATTATCTAAGTAAAAGGTGGTGGCATACAAGGCATCAGTTGTATTAGCCACCTCAGTCTACAACAACTCGTGTTACACTATCATGTTTATGTTGCATTAAAAAAAAAGTCACACACGCACACACACACACGTGCACACGCACATGCACACACACACACTCTCTCTCTCTCTCTTTTTTAATGCAGCAGAACATGAGATACTGTTTCTACCCTAGATATGTAATAATATATATTTACTGTACGTATTATTTACATTCACAATTGTGGGAATTCAAGAAGTATTCAAAATATTTGTAAAAGAGTTTTGCTACAGGTATAAAATCACACTATAGTAGTGAAGAACAGCTGTTGGTGTGTGTACATTACTGAGTGAGTTACAGTGGGATGCTGAAGGAGGAATTTATAAAATACAAAGAGGGGAACAAGAGATAAATTACTGTATGGAAAAATATTACACTTGCTGTGTGTAAATTTTTTTAATAAATTACACACCAGCAATTGGTAGGGTAGGGTAGGGTGGTGTGGTGTGGTGTCAGTAGCTTATGGCTAACAATCTTCACTGACTGATTGAAAGAACTTTCGAGAAGCTGACACAGTTGCATCACATAATTCTGAACCAATTCATAATTATGATTGTTGCTGTTTTAACGAACTTTATCCATCTTCCTCATTAACCACAAGTTTTACCAGTCATTCACATTACCTGAACATTTACCCCTTGACATTAGTCTTTCATTGAAGGATACAGACCATCAGGAGAATCTACTTGACTGTTGTTAAGAAATATGTGTACTGTATGTTATTTACATAAAATATAAGTACATTAGTTCTTTGCATAAAAGTCTAATTGCTTTATTTTACATGAAAAAATAACCATTTTGACTTAATATGAAAGCCGTAATAGGTGATTCAAAATTAAAATCCATATCACAATTGGTTTAAGAACTGCTGATGAAGACAACCTGAACCCAACTTACTAACCATTTGCATTAGGTCAGCAAGTACTGTACTGTACAATAACAGTAAAATAAATCAAAAGATGGAAAAAGAGTTTATCAAATATGAAAATCTTGGTAATACAGTAGTGTGTGTGTCACGTGTGTGGGACAACAAGAGGATCATCTCTCCTACTGTTAACAAGACTGAAAGTAACATCACAGGGGCACAGTTCATCAGTCCTTCTAACTTTATTAGCAAAATTACCTTATTTACAAATGGAATTTTTGTTGATTGCTCACCAAAAAATTGATTTTAAAAATAAAACAAAAATTTTCAAAGACTTAGATATCACCTCTTCCTTGCGTTACTCTCTTTCTCAATTGCTTCCATAATTAAACATTACTTCTAAGTACCTAAACTTGTTCACAACTTTAAACATGCGTGTTAAAATTACAATAATCATAAGTTCTGGGAATAAGTACACCTGAGAACATTTATTCATCATTTAACTGGATGCTTGAGTCTGCAACCTTTTGAGTGGCTCAGCAAAACTTCTAGTGTCAAACTGAATAATTATGGATCAGCATGTGGATGTGTTTGTCTGTTGTAATTCATGAGTACGGCACCTGGGAAGCCCGGCCCTGTCGTCTCATGATCACTGCCAATTGTTTTGTTCATCCAGTTAGTTAAGACAGACTTGGTTTAACTCTAAGTCTTACCTTGAGTTGTACTTCTCTTCCTATTATAACTGGATAACATCACTAATCCAGGACAAACAACCACCAACCTCAACCTTTATAAATTATCTTCACCATTACTGTACTCTGACACTCACAAGTACTGCACCACTCAACACCTCATTCACTCCCCAACACTGAATAACTATTTTCTTCACACAGTGAGTGTTGGTGTTGTTAACCATGTTTCTGTGACGTGAATCTTGAGTAAACTCGAATAGAAAATTTGTTTTTTGAGAAAAAAGATCATGTCATTTGATCTGAATATTAACCAAAGTGAGTTGAAATATCTTGTGACCTCTACAGTATGTCCATCGTAGCTACTTCAGTTCCTCCTTTATTTTGTCTTACATAGATTTAAACAGCGTTCATTGTCAAATTATAAAATGATAATTAATGTTACTTAATGGCAACAAAGGGTGCAGTGTCTCTTAAACTATAGTATATATGTGGTTTATATCAAGGACTAAAAACAGGAAGGGCAGACCGCTGTAACATCATAAACTTTAGCTCCGCCCTGTTCAATGACGTCATGCGAGCAATGCACATCATCTGGTGACCAGTTGGTGACGACCTTGCCTTGGTTGATATTTGATTGTTTAATTTTTTGAGAATGCTTGTAAGGTTAAGGCTGTGGACAGGTATAACAAAATGAATGCCTTATGATCTTATAATCCTCCAAAAAATAAGTGATATAGGAAAAAAAAAAAGCAAAATATTACAAGAAAACACCTGGGGGGGAGGGGGGATGCATTTTGCTAATGACATGGACAAAGCAACAAATTTTTTTTAGCTTATTAGCAATATAAAGATTTTCCTTTTGCCAGACATGGCAAGGTGAATGTTTGAGAGTACTCTTGACAACTGGATATTGCCTTACAATGTATACTACTGTACTTAAGAAAATAGAGCAAGTTTCTCTCACCTTCTTGTAGATACCTGGATATTGGCAGACATTCCAGAATTAAGGAGATACCAAAGAAATGTGAACTCTCTTCAATAAAGTTCTTGGCTCGCCTAATGTGGTGTTAATTTTATCAGAACACTTGTAGGCATTTATCCATTTATCACAAGTTTTCTTATCTCTGGGAAATCTGTAATACTTGATGTGTTCCATTGCTTGGGATTTGAGTTATGCTGGTGTACCCGTATATTGTTGATACACTGGTCGCAAAGAAGATGCGGGCACACTCGGAGGTCACCAGATGATGCACGTTTACATCGGTGACGTTACCAAGCTGTGTATTATGGTAAAAACAAGTGCTTGGTGAACTATCCTTACTAGCATTTTATCCTTGGTTTATATTCCTTTTACATTTAAAATAATAAATTGTTTTTAAAATCTAGCAGCATTAGGATTAATGTAAAGCAAACCTTTTATTGAATTAAATATAACACTGATGAGAATATACGATTGACTTGTTTTGTATCGGCAATAAGATTTACCTTTATAGGACTAAAACTTACAGGAAAACATTAAATCTGTATCAGAGAAAAGGTGAGAATTTATGTTTTATTTCTTCAAGCTGCAACTTAATATTTAGTTAATGGAGTTATAAGCAATTATTGTGTTCCCCACACAAATTAATGCCTAATGCAAAGCTTAAACTATGAGTCAGTTTTAACTTTACTTGTGTCATCGTATTTTAATGTTAACTTTCAGGTTGCCTTATAACTTATTTGACCAAAGATACAAGACCAAACTAAATAGTATCTGCCTCATACATGTGTATTGTATTTATACTATTAACGACTACACAAGGACAGTAGACATATAACATATACAGCATAGTGATAATTACTAAATTAATTTGTAAGTTTGCTGTACTTTAGGATACAGCCCAGGAACACCAGCCTACATCTTGTACCATGTGTACTGTGCACACACACACACACACACATCTCTACTCTTTGGTGCTTTCTCTAACTGAAGAGAAAAAATGCCCATGGTTGTCTGTAAGTCACATAACAGTACAGTAATCAATTATCTTCACAAATGAATCAGTGTAAACTAAAACAGTATAAAATAAGATCACTAAGAGACTTGCACCACAGCTCCATACAGTACATAGTGTCTTCTACAGAGCTGATAGTGTTCAAGGAATTTTCCAGGCATAATGTTCTAATAATTCTTTTCAACAGAAGTGCATTTGCTGGAACAATATATATATATATATATATATATATATATATATATATATATATATATATATATATATATATATATATATATATATATATATATATATATATATATATATATATATATATATATATATATATATATATATATATATATATATATATACTGTATATATATACTGTATTTTTACATTTTGTTCACGGTATCTTCATCTGTAAGAAAAAAAACATCAATATTAACATATATGATCACATGTAATCTTATCTTATTAGTAATTTAAGTAAAAATATAATGTTTATATACTGTACTAAACATAAAGAAGACACAAGCTGTGCACTACTTACCAAAAGAAGTCACTTTAAGGAGAGGTTTGGCACCAAATGAATCATTAGGTCTGATGTAAACTTCTGAAGGAGGAGCCCACTCTGGCAGAGGCTGAATCAGCTTCTTCAACCGCTGAATAAAAATTTATATATATATATATATATTTCATGTAAATCCACAATGAAAACGTGTGATGTATATATATATATATATATATATATATATATATATATATATATATATATATATATATATATATATATATATATATATATATATATATATATATATATATATATATATATATACAGTATACACACACACACAGTAAATAATTTGCTATATGCCGCTCTTACCAATCTCATTATCTTTTGAACTTCTATTAAATGTATTTACAGTTTTCCTGTGATATACTGTACTCATAATACTGTACAAGTCTCTGATCCTACAAATTAATTAACATATCATAATTATTTGATTGGAAAAAGTACCACTATACAGTAAGGCTTTGTTTATGTGGAGGCTATGTTCTTTGAAACTTTGAGTAGACATTGATTTTGTGCAAATGAAACTGAGCTTATTACTAAGTTTGTAAATGGTTTATATCTCTCAAAACTCACTAATGTATTGTACAATCTTATTAAGAAAGGACCCCTGATCTCCTCTCACCTGGTACTATATACTGTACTGTACTGAGCCACCAATCACACTAGTCTCTATTGACTGTGACTCACCTTGACCAGTGGGCCCTTCTCCCACAGGATCTTATAGATTGCCACAATAGGTATAAGAGTCACTGATGAGAAAGACAGCATCCAGCCAACAACATTGGCCCATACTGGAAACTGATAATCTCCGTATCTTGCCGGAACATAGTCAATCCAAGAGAAGATCAAAATAGTCTGGAAATTAGAAAGCAATTACAGTACAGTTGGAACATTTTATTCCCAAGATGTAGAAAAAGGTCGAGTTACAACTATTATTGTAAATCTTGTTCCATACATTTATATAAATACTGTTTGGGTGATCTGCAACTGACCAGCACAGGACTTGTTTTGCTCCAACATTGACCTATTCACTCATGTCTCGGTTAATATTTACAGTGTGTTCTACAAGTTCCCTGATAACCTTTCACTGCCTTCTCTACACCTCAAAAACTTATAAGTACAACTTTTAATACTGATACTTTCTCTATTGACAAAACTACTTCAATGACACAATTTTTTTCTCTGCAAAAACTTTTGAGTTATTCCTATCTTGAGACACACATTCATCACATATTATATAAATAATATTACTTAGACACTTTGTTACAGTACTCACCGTCACCACCAGAGGCATACCAAACTTCCATATGTACTTCCAAAATATTCTTGGGTATGGGTAGAACCCTAACATCTTTTTGATGTCCTCCAAGAAGTTGTCAACACCGTAGATCCATGTCACCACCGTAACCTGTTGGGAAAAATTTAAAATAAATCATAGAAGTAAATTAATATGATGAATTGATCTTACTCAAAGCAAATGAAGAAACATCAGTGAAAAGAGTCATCCTGAACCTCACTTGATGGTAACACCTGTCTCTCATCATTGTGTTCTGGGTTCAATCCCCAGCCATGGACAGATGTGAGAAGGGTGTTATCCAGTGTGACCCAAACAGTTGTGGTAGGTTTCCTTCTGTACAGTACTAATACTGAAGAATAAAGGACAGAACAACAGCCGGAATGGTCACCAAGGTGTTCGGTGGTGAAATGATAAATAAATAAAGTGAAAATACGTGTACAATATCCTGAGGTCAAACTGCAGATTTTATTCATATTTCATACAAAGATTCTCCTTTACATGGTGGTTAAGGATGTGGCATAAAAAAAAATGAGTAATTGCTAGTAGTAATTAATGTCCCTTGAAATAATTCAATACATTTAGAAAACATTTTTGAGACCACAAATAAGTTCATTCACAAGTTTAGTTTTATAGATGACATGAAGATAAGCCCCCTGCCCCCAACAGACAGTTTGGGATGGTTAAAGTTTGGGCTGGTTTAGCTGGGTTACAAAACTTCAGGCGAACACTTGGGGCTTATCTTCAGATGATCCATAAAAGCTGCAATTGTGAATGGTCTTATTTTGAGACTCGACCATATCATTGGCTTTTACCCATAGTACTGTACTGTAAGTTAGTCGAAACACATGCTATGTGCATACTGTACTTACAGAACAATGTTTAAAACCCCACTATATCATACCCTAAGTCCTTATATACATCTAATATCATTTAATTTAAGAGAAAAGAAGAAATAGAATGACAAAATACAGTAAATGAAAGTAAAAAAATAAGTCATCAGGTAAATAAAATACAGTCAACCCTCGCTTTACGCAGTCCCACTTTACGCGTTTCCACTTTTACGCGGTACCCTGCCGAAACCGGAATGCTCACTTTCCGCGGTGTGTGTACCCTTTTACGCGGAGAGCGGAGCGAGCAGGGTGCGCACAAGGTCGCCCAGTCATCAAAACATTACCGAGTTCTTCACCCGCCCAAGTCAGTGATAGTGAGGATATGGACTTATATGGACTTTGAGGGGTTTGACAAAGAGGCCCTGCAAGCCTCTGTGGTGGATAGTGATACAATTGATACAAGTGACACAGGTGAGGGCCAATAATCTGCCCTCTGCCTCGGAACCAACCCCCCCATCCCCGTGTGCCCAGCCATCTTTTCTACTAATGTAAGTGTTAAAAAACCTAATATTATTGATATTTCTCTTAATTATTAATTGTGTGTGCATACCATCATAAAATTAAGAAGTTATTTTTACTACAACGTAGGTATTGTGTCTGAAAAAGTGGAGTTTGGGGGTTGGCCCGGTCTCTATTTCAATTAATCCCATATGTTATGTTGTTCACTTTAAGCGTTTCTCACTTTACGCGGGCCGCCGTGGGTTGAATTAACCTCGTAAAGTGAGGGTTCACTGTACTATAAATTCAAAGTTTAACCTCATTGGTTCGTATGAGCGGGCTTTCGTAAGTCGGGGACCCCCTGTACTGTGTATACTTTACAGTACAATGGTCCCTCCATTAATGAGCGCTTCAATCTACGAGATTTCAGTTAATGAGTTACCTCCCGTAAGGACTTTCAGTTCTATTAATGAGTACAAATTCTATTAACGACAGCCTTACGTGAAACACCTTTTGGTGCGTGCATCAGCTGATCGGCTAGTCTGCCAATAGTGTAATCGGTTCTATGTTTACATATGTTCATAGTTCAGTAAATATTTTTGCATTTTTTATATTAAAATCATTGGTCATTCTGAAATTTAGTTAACATATTGATAATATACAGTGAAGTGTTGGTTTAAATAAAAAAATCTGGAATTAGTTAAATAAATTGTTGTGAACTTAAAATTTTATTCGGTGAAATTACCAAGCACGGGTCAGAAGAAATCTCGGAAGGCGATTTCAATTCAAGCGAAACAAGAAATTATTAAGAATTAGGACAAGGCATTAGAACCACTGCACTGTAAAGAATATGGCATGTCATCGACTGTGTCTACAATTATTCATCTTCCTCCTCCTCCACCCTTCAACTCAACCAACAACATCCTACATATACAACTCAAAGTGTTAAAATATTCTATTGTTTTTTATTTATTATTGTACAGTATACTGTACAGTACAATACTGTATTTGGTTTATATTTAATGTTTTGTTAATTCTATTACCGGTATACAGTACTTTGTATGTACTTTTTCTGTGAGCTGGAACCAATTACCCAACATCCCATTAAAATAATATTCAGTTAACGAGTGATTCTGTGGAACCGACTGTGCTCGTTAATGGAGGGACCACTGTACTGTACAGTACTAGTAATAGATAGAACCATAACACTAACAGCTGGAAAAGATCTTTAATAGAGTGGATGTGAGGTTAGGAGGAGGACATCAGATGGGCACTCTGAATACTGTAATAACCAAAGGGAGTTAAGAGAATACAAATGGAATTGTGACACTGAGTGAATTATTCCCGAGGTGAGGAGGAAGCGATACAGAGTGAACCCGAGAAAAGACTGAGACAGGAATACAGTATTGACATACTTAAGAAGGGTTCAGGTATTACTGTACTCACCCTGCAGCACTGTACACAAGCTGCTCAACTCAAACCATCATGATAGATATCTAATGTATTATTACTGTAAGAGAATGTCAATTTATTCTCTTGGAAATAAGACCAATATCTTATTCTCATATAAAACAGTTAATTGTTCTATTGGAAATAAAAGGCTAATTTACTCTCATGACAAAAATAAATTTATTCTCTTGGAAACAAAAAGGTAATAACTGCTGTCGTGGATGGTCTCACCTCGGCCATGCCGACCATGAGAGCCGAGAACGTGGAAGAGTAAGAGTCCATCATCTGCAGGACGTACATTCCACCCTTGGTTGCCATAGAGAGCCCCACACAGTACATGGCGCCACAGGCAACTAGGAGGACCCACCTGTGGTACAAGGCAGTAGGTCAGCTCTGAACATGAGGCAGCACAAGCCCCCAAAGCTTATCATTATCAACAAATAAAACTCATATTTAACCACAAAAACACAGTTAAGTTTTGCTAATGATAAAAATATTAACACTTATAATACAAAGGTTCACCACAAGTAAATATTATAATACAAAACAATGAAATGGCAGAGCAGAGTTATGGCACAGTTCAGTGTTCAACACACTCCATCAAGAGGGCAGACAACTTTTGGTATGGTATTTTTTCCCTGAGTAGAAGGTCATGATTAATATTCTGAGCAAGCTGTGACAGTGTTTACCAAGGAGCCATTGGAGAGTCATCGGTTAGGACAACTGGCTGCCAGTGCCAGGCTGGGGCATATCATGCCAATGACTGTTGGTATCCACTGCCATAACAAGCATTCACAAATAATTTATGAAGCAGTAAAGTCCGTGCCAACATTTCTGGTCACCTGCAGTTGTTGCATATTTGATGCTTGTGCAGGGGGAAGAAATTATCATATAAAATATTAATATCATAATGGCTTTCTAGCCAAGTGCTCCAGAGGATGACTGATACCCTGCCATGAATGAAGGTTAGTCACACGGATAATCACATACCATATGTGAGTTCACCCCACAATACTGTTAATATATACATGGTTGGGGAGCATGTTGCCGGTGAGGTGTTGGCGGGTAGACTCACTTGAAGTTCTTGCCGCGCAGGGCTGGGAAGTCATCAGTAATGGTGGTGATGATGGTGGTTAGGATAGTAAACTGCGTGCCAAGACCCAGAGTCAGCAACATGGCGAAGAACAACATGGACCACACCGGCGACAGAGGTAGGCGGGCCACGGCCTCGGGGTAAGCCACGAACGCCAGGCCCGCTCCTAGAACGTGCATAAAACGACTCCACATCAGAACTTTTCGTGGAGGTATGCTACCCTACTGGTGATGGTGAGGTGACGCGCCCACAGAGAGTGTCCAAGCCAACTCGCCAAGGGACCAATGGTAAGGCACACCGGTGATAGACACAAGGATGCGTGAGGGCACACGAGATACCGGTGTCCTTAAGCGGGCCACGAAACAGTGATCTACACACTACACGTTACCTTCTACCGTATGCTTACCTAACAAGCACGTTACAACAGTAGCATGTCTCCTCTCTGTAACCAACATGAAGAGTGTAACAGGAAGCCACTTATAGTAACCACCAAACGTTGTGAAGAAGACAGTTGCCAAGAATGTGACAAATATAAAATAGCAACATTTACCAATACACACCAAGCTAATGGTGACACCCTTGTTTCTTGTATTGTCCTTGAGTGATGTACAATATTACCTGTAGCTTACCTGCAGTTAGTGGCACCAATGACCGTCATCGCATTAGTCTATAATGTTAGTTACAGATACGTACCAGTTTATTCAGCCTCGGTGGAGGAGTTTGTGTGGTTGGAACATGGGGCTACTTACAACATGACATGAGGAATTTAATAAATGTCTTCTGGTTTCTGGCAATGGAATTAAAATTGAGGATTAAGTTTGGATCTACAAGTGGTGGGTGTGATGGACAGACACTGCACTGATATAGTATATGGATGGCTCTAACTTTTGAAAGATTGTCTTCAAAAAAAATTGTTGTAAAAAATTAATACTTTTCTTTTTTTTTTGCTTGTAAATCTGATGCATTGAAAACATATGAACCAAAAGTAAATGAAGTATTTTGGTCCTTGACTTACTGTACCATCTACACTATGGAGACTGTGATTTAGATGGCTGGCTCACATGTCAGTATAATACAGCATCTGCCATATATGTGATACTTTGTTCTTATTTGATTATTAATTTTACTGTAGAAACAAAAGTGAAATAAAAAATAAAGAAGAATATATCCCTGAAGTGGATCAATATTCTAGAACTTTTTCCGATAATTTTATTGAGTTAAAGCATGGACGTGTGAGCCAGTGTTCCTATGAGGTAAACAAGAGACTGAGTGTTTGGTATTATAGTAATAGAAAATCAACACCTTGACGCCAGTATCAGTAATACGACGGGAAAAATGTCTCTTATGTTAAAAAAAAAGTTCAAGAAATACAACGATCAGTCTCAAAGGAATAGAACCTTTATAAAAAATGTCTGAATATCAGTTAATGACATTAAAGGAGGCTGGGGGTGTTCAGTCAGTTGGGTAAATTGAAGGAAGACAAATTATTTTTAGTGTCAACCTCCATTTTATGCCCACTGAATAAAACCTATTTAAGCCTCAAAAAACCCAATTGGGAATATTTAGTGACAACTTGACAACTGAGAGGTGTTCCAGGGCTGATTCAGATCACTTTATGAAAGATTATTAAACCAAGTTACCTATAGGAAATGCTAACCCTGAAGAAGATTGAGAAGGAAATGCCATTGTGGGCGTAGGAGCTACATACCCTCTGCTGCCACCTTGTCAACGGGCAAGCCCAGTTCGTGAGCCATAAAGCCAATGATGCCAAAGATCACGAATCCAGAGAAGAAGCTGGTGAGGCAGTTACCCAGGGACACCACGATGGCATCTCTGTAAAGGAACACAAAACATATACAGTATAGGTACACAAAACATATACAGTATAGCTACACAAAACATATACAGTATAGCTACACAAAACATATACAGTACAGCTACACAATTTAGGTAAATAACGATGCTTCATTAAATTTAAGATATTTTGCCTTTATAATACAGTACTGTATTCTGTACTGTAATTTATATTATTGTTCCTAAGGGGCTCAACCATTTGTGAGAAAATATGATGATTATACTATATAAATATTTTATGCCCCTTAAATAGGACAAGTTATTAACATTCTATCAAGCTGTTTTGTTAAGAATATTCATCTTCATCCAAGTCTTGGTCACTTTGTTATTGACTACACAACACTGCTGGGACAGTCCTTCTAAGATATACGGAACCAATATTATCTGGAGCTAAACTTAGACCCATCAAGTGAGAGTAAACTTGTGAACCTTTGTTGGTCCAATGACTAATATAATTGGGAATTAAATATTATTGCATATAAGTACAGCATAAAAAGGAAGGATTTTTTCTTTATCTATAATAAAAGTTGTTGAACTGAAAAGCTGAAGTAAAAAGTTTCCATCCAACTATGAAAATAATTGACCTATCTCAGTGAGAAGTATAACACACTCAGTGACGCTGTTAACTGTTACCTGTACAGTGCTTAGTTACTTCCACGCAATGTTAACATCTTTTTTCAAAGATAAATGCCCAACCTTCTCTTGCAGGTTTAATCACAGGGAAAGTTTTTATAATCTGGATAATGAATACAGTACAGTAGACTATTAGGAATATTAAATATGTAAATACAGTATGACTATTCCATTATCTTAACATGATATTTTCCATGCAAGGCTTGAACAGTTATCCAGAACCCCCAAAACTTCTACACATAGGCCAAAGTGATAACAAAAGCTTCATGTTGAATAGTTTACTGTGAAACACTTGAACGATTGTTAGTGTGATCGTCTATTTATTATTATATACTTAACTATTCATTTATGGTGTTTGATAATTAGTTACACTGTGTACTTCAACATATAAGACAACACTTAAGTCAATATGGTGAATGATGATGAAGTTTATCGTCCTACAGTGAGTGACATCCTAACTTTCATGATGAACAAGTCTCAAACAGGCTACTGTAGTGTACTTTTTATTTAATAATAATAATAATAATAATAATAATAATAATAATAGTAATAATAATAATAATAATAATAATAATAATAATAATAATAATAATAATAATAATAATAATAATAATAGCTGACCACAGAAATTGTCCAGGTAGACTTGCAAAACAATGAATTTGTCAAAGTTCAGCATTTTTAGCCAACGATAAGCAATTCCAAGAAGTTGAAGATCAAAATACTTACAGTACTGTATATGACTTGCCATTTAACCCATTCTATGTGAATGGTTTAAAATTCAAGTGTACAGTACTCTCAGTGCAGCACTTTTGATACAATGGCTGTCTGTCCCATTGATGGCACATTTGCAATAGAAGGATTAATTTACTAAAATTAAAATGAACTGCTCCACATGGTCAGGAAAACACAAATCTTAAAATAACATACACAACACTTCAGTTGAAGTAACAGAACATGCTCCACTGTTTCACCCGGTACAAAATGTAATGTCTAAGTGAGTTAAAGATAATAAAGAGAGAGGTTATTATGAGAACTTACCTATAGCAGTTGTTGTTGAAATTGTTGTAAGACGCAAGGGTAATAAGACCGCCCCAACACGGTGACAAACTGAAGAAGATCTGGATGGCTGCATCACCCCACACCTGGCGACGGGATCAAACAAGATGTATGTGATGACTGGGGCAGTGTTACTGGCTGGAGGCAACTTAATATGAACAAACATCCAACCAGAGAAATATATCAAGAGGCTCCATCATTCTGCAACACTAATGCAGAGATCTCACTGTCATTCATACAAAATATATGAGATAAAATACATAATCATTTCACGAAGAGTTTATCATATACTGTAATACAATGTGGCAATAGTAAGTGTCGAGAAGCAAACCTAAACATTTAAGGTAATGTAACTTTCTGGTATTTACGGCAGCGTTCTGATCACAGTAGGGATGGTGACATTAAACCTAAATGCAAGGAAAAAGTCAGTGAACAATTAGAGACAAATGAAGGTTCAATTAGCTCTGGTCTAGTTCTAGTTAGAAAACATTCAAAACCTAACTTAACCCAACCTTACTGTTTATTAATTTTTATTATATATACTTACACTGTCCAGGTACATTGTTTGCATACCTGCAGTGTCTATATACATACTGAACTATATACCTGAATTATCTTTATAAATGGCAAACCAACAGTAAAGCTGTACGACATATTACAGAATAAATATCTATCAATCTAACAGTGGGATGACCTCAACACATTAGAATGGTGTGAGGGACAGTATAGTTACTTACACTTGCTTTAAAGACTTTGTCCCAGTCAGGAGTGAGGTAGAAGGCAATACCATCCATGTAACCTGGGAGTGTGGCAGCTCGCACCAGTAGCACGATCAGGATCAGGTATGGGAATGTTGCAGTGAAGTAAACAGCCTATACAAAGTGAATCTGTGTCAGTATTGCATCATATGATTAGATAATACTAATACAATAATTTTGTAGTAATGTTCACTTTACTCTAAATCCAAACATCTATTGTAAAACTTCTTTAGTTCACAGTTCAAGGGTAAATAATATGCACTGAGTTACAGAGTTCTTACTGTACACACATACACCCATTCTGCTTCCATTTGCTGTCATTCAATCACCCTTGTGGCAGAACTGTAGTGCTTTACTCTACTTTATCCTTTTCACAGCTGAATGGTCTGTTATGCACTATTGGGTGGCAATTGTTAATTGTACCTGTAGATATTGTAAACAGTAGCCGTATGAGTAGAAATAATAGAAGTAGATGAAATGATAAACAACATTACCTGTGGTCAAGACCTTAACCCCTCTCTATGGGGACACCAGATGATTTATTCAGCACAGAGACCCCCTCCCCCACACAGATAGCGTTAATGGCATGAAATCATCATCTGTACCCGTCATAAGCGGGGTACCACAGGGTAGTGTATTGGGCACACTGCTGTTTGTTTGCTTCATAAATGACATGCCTGAAGCTGTGCATTCCTCCATACAAAAGTTTGCAGATGATGCCAAGCTATTTCGGGAAATTAACAACCAAGCGAACTGTAAAGAGCTGTATAAGATCTCTGAGAGCTTCAAGAATGGTCAAAGAAATGTCTATGGATTCAATGTCACAAAGTGTAAGAGGATGCACCTGGAATGTACCAACAGTAAGGAGCCATATCATATGTCTCAATGGGACGGGGAGACTGCATTAAATGAGATGGAATGTGAAAAGGACCTAGGTGTGTACGTTGACAATGAACTGAAGTTCTCGGGCCATTGCGAGAAGAAGGTAAATCAGGCTACTAAATTATTATAAGGTCGTTCAGATGTCTAGATGGTCCATCCCTCATAACGATCTTCAAGAGTGAAGTGTTTCCCCGCCTGGTCCCCGAGATATGCCAGGGACTGTCAGTTGCTTGGAAATGTCCACCTCAGCTACCCTGAGAGATTGGAGCACCTGAATTTGCCTAGCTTATACTACAGACGGGCAAGGAGAGATCTAATTGAGGTGTACAAGCATCTCAAAGGGCACTACTCAGTCGAGTGTCCTTACCTGGAGCTGGTGGACGCTCATCCCACAAGGGGACACAGATCAAAGTTAAAGAAGTCGCAAGTCCAGAAAACTGTGAGGGGTAACTTTTTCGGAGTGAGGGTTGTGAATTCCTGGAACAACCTGCCAGAGAGTGTTGTGATGGCACCGAGTGTGAGCTCTTTCAAGACCAGACTGGATAAGCACTGGAGCAGGTTCAGGTACATTCAAGAGCCGGTGCATGCCCAGTACTTGCCAACAGTGTGTAACAGAGATGTAACCGATCGCCCAAGCGGCTAACAGGCCGATCAATGGTAAAGAGGATAAAAGTAATAAGTAAAATAAGTTAAGGTGGCACCTCTTACCTTGCCAAAAGTTTCGACTCCCTTGATGAGCACCAGGTACACGATGATCCAGGCAATGAGCAGAGAGAGGACGATATTTCCCTGAAAGCCTCCAATGTCATGAAGACCGTCAGAGATGTCCAGCACGTGGTTACTGAGGGGACAACATGTATCATGCACTCATCAATACTGTGCAATACTACAATTACAGTATAACACTCTTTGCCACTCAGTCGAATGCTTACTCTGTGGACCTTTGCCAAAATATCAAAAAGAATGTAGAATAATAAGTATATTGTACAGGTACTTGTCATTTATGAAGTTCACATTAAAAAATACTAAAGAAAAATATCTATCAAAATTTCATATAGGTTGTAAGGGACAGACAGACTTTTCAAACCATTGGAGAGACAAGTTACATGAGAAATGACAATGAAAATAAATATTCCAATCTCAAAATCATATTTTACCCTTCTCTACCTTATCGGTAATACAGTACTTTAAAAGGAAAAACAATGTACAGTACAGTACAGTACGTACTGTACTCTGTAAAGTTAGTTTGGTTTGGTACTGTATTGTTGAATATTTAATCAGATTAGAAATACAGTAAACCCTCAATAACTTGGCATGGATATGGACTCAGAATGTATTAGTAGAATTCAGGATTTTTTTTGTGGTGAATAGCCCACCCGGGCACAGGTCATTGACCCACAACGGGGCTTGGGGGGCGAATTATAAGAGTAAAAAGAAATTAAAAATAGAAAAAAAGAAAGATTATATTAATCTACACCACGAAGATGCCGGAAAACCAGCTTTTTAAAGTGAGACATTGTAATAGTATGGAAACACAGAAGAAGGCAGAGCATTCCACAGTTTGGCTGTGTGAGGAAAGAAGAATGTACTATAATGGGTTATTCTTGTGTGATTGACATCCACAGAGAAACGGTGGGCACTGCGGGCAAGAGGAGTGTTAAGAGCACCTGTAAAAGAGAGAGTGAAGCAACATTGTGAAGAGAAAGGGAAGAAAGATTATCAACTAAAGGAGGAGAGTTAATAAGATGAAATGCCTTTGATTCCACCCTATCTAACAGTTGGACAAAAGAAGAGCCACCACAGATATGAGAGCAGTACTCCAAGTTAGGACAAATGAATCCCTTATATACTTGAAGCAACTGCCCAGGAGTGAAGTAGCTACGGCATCTGTACAGCATTCCCAGCTTTCGGGAGGCAGCTTTAGCAATGTTGAGGATGTGTGGCTTCCATGACATATTAAGAGGAAATGGTGAGACTTAGCATATCTATTTTAAAATTTGGCAGAATGATTGTGTCCTGAAATGTGTTTGATGGGAGATTACCTAATTTGGAAAGGGAAATTGGTAAATACTGTACGGAGTTTTATTACTAATGAATTTAACCAAGTTTCTACCTCTCCATTTGGAGATGCTGCACAGATCCGCATTGATATATGTAATGTTATCAGCTCTAGAAACAATCTAGTTTGAGAATTAGGGGGAAGGGGAAAAGGTGAAGAAGAGTGAAGAGTAGAATCAACAGTGTAAGAAAGGATAGAATTAGTTGTAGTGTGAAGTAAATCATTGATAAAAAGAAGGAAGCGAGAAGGTGAAAGAACAGAACCCTGTGGGATATATAAAATTATATGGGAAAATCTCAGCATATCTGGCCACCTGCATCACCTACCCTGCCTCTGTGTCACCTACCCTACCTCTGTCACCTACCCTACTTCTGTCACCTACCATGCCTCTGTGTCAACTACCATGCCTCTGTGTCACCTACTACTGTACAATGCTTCATTCTTTGCGTGCAGTGCTGGTGTTACTTTTTTTACATTTAGTAATTTCATGTACACATAAATAGGTCGATAATTTTTTATTGTTGTATTTCTGTAGAAGTTGGGGGGTTGATAAGTCAGAATTTGGGATAACTCAGCAAGGCCAGAGCCCCATATGTGCCGAGTTATCAAGGGTTTACTGTAGTAATAATAATAATAACAGGAGTTTTCATAATGTCAAATATGGTTTTCTCTTATAAACAACAGGTAGAGATTGTCCTTACTGGAAGTACTCATCAGCAGGGCTCTTGAGGAAGCTGACAGACTTGTTCAGTGACTGCCATTCTTCATCAGTGGTCATGTTGGGGTAGATACACGTCCCAGTCAAGTTCATCAGTCCACCGCTGAGCGTACAATTACGTGAACTGTACTGTTTGCAGACTATGGAAAGTGAGAGGAATACTGAAACTTATATTCTCAAGCATTAATAACAATTCCCATTACAGTACAGTACATATATTTTACATAATTACTAACAGTTCCTGTAACATATATTTTAAACAACAAGTATTAACAGTTTCCGTAACTTACATTCAGAGCTCCAGTCATTCTCACAGGAAGTCCACGGCAAGGTATGAGTGAAGGAAGAGTAGATGTAGTAGATGGCCCATGACAGCACCACGTTATAGTAGCACCCGATGTAGAAGCTGATCATGAACATAGCGTAACCAATACCTGAAGGAGGAAAATAATAAACATTAATTCATATTTTCCTTTCATGCCCTTTACCTCTTGACGAATTTTATCACCTTATTTTACCAGATGATTATAACATAACTTAATGCCCAAACTAACTTAATCTAATCCCCAAGGTACCATTAGGGTGGTTAATCTTCAGGTGAAATAAGGTGGGAGGGCTAATTATCAGCTGATCCAACAAGTCTTACTTCACCTAATACAAGAAAGGTTATTTATGACTTAATTATAATGTTTCTAGTACCGGTAGTTTCCAACCTGCTTTATAAGACAAAAATTACAAGATAATAAGCAACTTTTCCTTAAACATACTTTGAAAATAATACCCGTAGGTAGAAACGTGCGTGTGTGTGTTAACTTACCAGTAAAGAGAGGACATATTTTCCACACAGTGATGGGGCCCTCACGTCCAAACTGACCCAGACATAACTCGAAGAACATGAGAGGCAACCCACACACCAACAACATGATGGTGTATGGGATCAGGAAGGCCCCTGAAACACAACAACAACATTAATAACACTATACACTCACAACTATCATAACTGTTACATGTTTTGAAAACTTTTGATGGTAAAATTAATCCTGGTATAGTATATTGCTCAAATGAATACTGTAGGTGCATTTACAGTATAAGTCATTAATATCTAAGTTTCCACTTTACAGACTCAAAAAATAGCTGCTCTTCAAAACTTTCATCTGGACCTCCTGTTATTCAGGATTTCTTGATAACATACAAGAATCTTGCCGGTATGTGCACGAATGAGAAGGTTACCAGATCCACAGATAATTGTCATTTCAATATAAACTAGACGAGTTGAATCTTTCGTCAATGGTCACGTGCAGGGAATTACAATATGGTCAAATTATTAGCATCACAATCTCACTGAAGTGACCTTAATATTCAGAGCACAAACACAATGTGATTTTATTACGTGTGTAGGACAGCCCCCCCCCCACCAGGAAAAAAAAACCCCAGGACAAAACCCCCTTAAACAAACCTAACCTAACCTAACTCAAGGGGTTTTGTCCGGACCCCGTGACGAACTGATGGTTTACCCGAGGTCAACAAACTAACAAAACCAAAAACACACTCACCACACAAGACAGAGACGTGCACTAGTTATAATAACAAGACGCGGTCTTACACAGTCGGGTAATGATCAACCTCTGGAACTCTTGAGTGAAACAACAGTCAGTAATGGTGCACCTTCACTATAATTCCGATTAAACATAGGCAGCCATAAAGGGAGAACAAAAGGTCATGTACAGTATGTATTTCCGAGAACCTTATAATGACATATTGTGACGCAGATAATGTTTCCCCAGGTGGCGGGGCCCAGTGCTGGTCATCCTGACCTGCCGGGTCGGGGAACACTTCACCATGGCGTCCCCGACCTAAGAACACACTACTACAGGGAAAGAGAGGGAGAGAAAAAAAATGGTAAGAGAAGTTAGGTTTGCTTAAGTCGGCGTAGATTTGTGAGTTAGTTTTCAATTAAAGGGATTCCAAAATGCTTCTAGCGTGAGTGAAGGTGATATAGATTGATAGCTATTAATTCAGAGAAATCGTCATAGATGTTCAAGGTGGTTTACAGTGTACAGAGACTGCAGTATGCTGCACATGCAACAGAAAGTCGATTTAACCAACGATAAACCAAGAACCTTACTTCCAATGGTGTGTGTGTGGCCAACTAAAGTATTTTGTTAACATTCCCTGTTGAAGCCTCGACCCCCACACTCCATCACTAAACGTGCACAAACTGAGCCGTGGCAAAAAAAAAAAAAGATAAATATTATGTACGTATGTAACTTTCTCTGAATAATGGTCACATCTCTAAAGGTGTCAACTTTCGAAAGATGAGTGGACAAGCTCTGACAGACCAAGAGGTACTGTACTGTAGGTGTTTTGAGGAAACATTTGTCAGTTTCCACACAAAAATATCAGGGTTATAGTATTGAAAGATTTCTACACAGTAATTGACAACTTCTAAGGCCTGAGCAGTGGTGGTCTGGTGGCTGTGATGGAAGATTCTATGCTGTGGAATTCCTGGAACTGGAAATGCCATTCAATACCGGTCACGAACCCCGCAGAGGGAAAGATGACCGTCAATCCATAGAGAGTTGTATATAACAAGGGATAACAAGAATGGTTGCCGGGTGCATTAAACCTTATTTGAAATAACATCCCTCAAGTGTCATGTACGTCTATTAATCAGATCGGAAAAAGGTGAGAATTAAGCAGACTAAACGCAGCTAAAGTTAACACAATAATGATATATGTTTATCTATTAGCTGTTTAATGAAGCAATCCTTACTGATGAAAAAGTTTTACCAGCCCGCGATGATGTAGCTCATATACCAATTACTGGTTGCTCTTAATTCTCTTAAGGTTCAAATTATTGGACGTAATTGACGCCGCCAATGGTGTGTTTAGTTAGCACATTCACTATGAATACTGCTGAGTGCTGACAGCTTTAATACTGCTGAGTGCTGACGTGCTGGCAGCTTTAATACTGCTGAGTGCTGACGTGCTGGCAGCTTTAATACTGCTGAGTGCTGACGTGCTGGCAGCTTTAATACTGCTGAGTGCTGACGTGCTGGCAGCTTTAATACTGCTGAGTGCTGACGTGCTGGCAGCTTTATACGCCTTCACTGTTCCTCCGCTTTCTTTCCCCTGATGGACCCGAGTGTAGGACAAAAGTCCCCAAAGACAAAAGCCCCTTAGGACAAAAGTCCCCCAGGAGAAATAATATAAGAATTTTTAAAATAATTATTTTATTTTTGTACAGTTTATGAACACTTCTCTAACCTAACCTTCGGGAATTCTGTTATAGTTATAAAGAAGTATACAAGGAATGTTCATTAAATCTGCAATGACGTGTTTGGTCTACTGGGGTAATTACTCCCCTGACATTCAGTGACCTCACTGGGCCCGAGGGTCACCTCAGTAAATACAGAATGAACTATAATATTCTAATTAATTAAATTGTAATAATTTCATATTTAAATCTATATATTTTTAATATTTCTAATGACCCTCTCTTTAACATAAAAACAGGGGGCTGTTGTCCTAGGGGGGCTTTTGTCCTGGCCCCAATGGACCCACACGGTACCACCAGCTGCCTCCTCCTCCTCTCCTTCCATCTTTGAAGAGTTCACAAACCCAAATACCCTGTAGTGGAAAACTACGCACTTACACGTGTATAATAACTACTTGTTAACTTAAGTATGAATTCCAGGCTTTTTCAGTGCAAATGTTTGTGAACTGAACTACCCAGGCGATGTTATTCTGTTCATACTGAATTCGCTAAAATGTTAACAGTTACATTCTGGTTCTTTTGCAAAATGTTCTGGTAAGTGAGGACGGTGTAGCCCAGTCTGTGGAGCGATCAATACAAACGCGAATGGCAACTCTCCTGATCTGCCTAGCCTAGCTATTTTGTGCCTAACAACAACCACTCCTTAAAAACCCGCCTTGGTTTTCATCAATACACACACAGACAGACAGGCACAATATATATTGTATATATAATCTTTTTTTTTTAGGCATAATGCAACACATTAGTTACGTGTCACAGGTTAATGCCATGTCTGATACGATATGGCGGTACATAAAGTAGATAATGGACACTGGAAAGCGGGAGATAGTTAAGAGAAAGTGGTAATGTGACCACCTGATCAACACAACACTGTGCCTCACGCCTGGCAGTGAGGGAGGACAGATAGATGACCCAGTTCTTGCTGACGTCACACAATCAATATCTTTGGTGAGGTATCTTACATTACCTTACAAGGCAGCACATCTTGTGGTGGATGTATGACAACACTGGTTCAAGGCTCTTGGGCTAAGTATCTTACTTCGACTGTGGTAGTTTGTACACTAAAAGTTGACGTTGTCAAAGTTCCTTCATCTCTGTAAATATTATACCCCACTCCTCCACCTACAGTATATCAACGAGGGTGTTGCCAGACAAACGGGGCAGATACTGTATACTGTACAAACGGGGGCAGATACTGTATACTGTACAAACGGGGGCAGATACTGTATACGGTACAAACGGGGCAGATACTGTATACGGTACAAACGGGGGCAGATACTGTATACTGTACAAACGGGGATACTGTAGATACATACGGTACAAACGGGGCAGATACTGTATACGGTACAAACGTGGGGGCAGGGCAGATACTGTATACGGTACAAACGGGGCAGATACTGTACTGTACAAACAGGACAATACTGTATACGGTACAAACGGGGGCAGATACTGTATACGGTACAAACGGGGCAGATACTGTATACGTACAAACGTAACACTACTGTATACCGGTACAAACGGGGGAGATACTGTATACTACAAACAGGGGCAGATACAGCATACGGTACAAACGGGGGCAGATACTGTATACGGTACAAACGGGGGCAGATACACGGTACAACGGGGCAGATACTATACGGTACAAACGGGGCAGATACTGTATACGTACAAACGGGGGCAGATACTGTATACGGTACAAACGGGGCAGATACTGTATACTGGGGGCAGATACTGTATAACGGGGGCAGATACTGCGTACGGGGGCAGATACTGTATACGGTACAAACAGTGCATATACGGTACAAACGGGGGCAGATACTGCACTGTATACGGTACAACAAACGGGTACAGTATACTGTATAAACAGAACAGTGGGGGGCAGATACTGTATACTGTACAAACGGAGGCAGATACTGTATACTGTACAAACGGGGGCAGATACTGTATACGGTACAAACGGGGGCAGATACTGTATACTGTACAAACGGGGGCAGATACTGTATACTGTACAAACGGAGGCAGATACTGTATACGGTACAAACGGGGGCAGATACTGTATACTGTACAAACGGGGGCAGATACTGTATACTGTACAAACGGGGCTGTAGTACAAACGGGGCAGATACTGTATACTGTACAAACGGAGGCAGATACTGTATACGGTACAAACGGGGGCAGATACTGTATACGGTACAAACGGGGGCAGATACTGTATACGGTACAAACGGAGGCAGATACTGTATACGGTACATGTTATTACAAACTTTTAATGCCTCGTCAATAACAGACAAACTTGCCTCCAATATCCATCTTAAGCAGCAGTTCATAGACTCAAAGTTAGTATGATATGTTTTTGGAACGTGTGTGTGTTTGTGTGTTTAGAAGACGCATAGTGTCAATGTATCCCAAAGATCTGTCAAGCGAAATGCTATGTTCGATATCCCGGTAACATTAATATTTCCTATGACAACAGCAAGTTAGGTAAATTGTTACGTCTTATATACCTGTAATCAGGGTCTAAGGAATACAGACTTTACCTCAGATTATAAGGGACCTTTGAGAGTCCGACAAACCGTGGTCTGTGTCTACTCCATCAAGCTGTAGGTTCTGTACTGTACTTATCCGTCACAGTTATAAATCTTGTCTTGTGTGGATGAGGAGTACAGCACAGCCTATAGATACCGATGTTCTTCCTGCCGCCATTCTCCAAGCAGGAGTACTTGCCGCTGTCAGTATTGCATCAGAGGTACTTACCGCCACCATTTCTGTAGCAGAGGTAGGGGAAGCGCCATATGTTGCCGAGACCAACGGCGTAGCTGAGGGACGAGAGGATGAACTCGATGGGGCGACTCCACTTCTGTCGAGCGTGGTCGGCAGGTTCCCTCACCTCCACGGCCTCACAGTCCTGCACACCAACACATCATTAATTTCTTACACATAATTTACCAACATTTAAACATACATAAATATTCTCTAATGTAAAGTATGTGTACTATAGTATATTTCGGCATTCATTTTAGATACATTTGTGCATCCCAAGTAAGACAAATCAAACACTAGTGATCTGTAGTGGTGGACAGTAAACCAGTGTTGAATAATAACGTGTGTGTAGGTCATGAGAAAGCAGATCATACAGAAATATCAATCATGGCATCAGCCGGGTGGGGAGGACGAGGCAGATAATGATACAGGGTAGTAAAGGCCCCGGTGGAAATAACCCTTCAACAGTTTACTTGGACGACGCCCTTGGTTAACTGACTGTTTTACCAGCGTTGTTCTGCCCACGTTGTTAATGCACAGTGCAGTAGAGTGGGACTTGTAGGACAAATGGACTGAATAAATTGCTATCTATCTAAGGAGGGTGGAGATGAACTTCGCTGGCTGGTATAGTTGAGGGGTGTCGCTGCGCACACTCCAGGATTTGCAGTCACGTGAGGCCCCGTTACCATGACAACACCGCTCCCCCTCCACCCAACTCTTCAAGTATGAATCAGAAGGAATTTCGGCGAAGCTTTTAATATTCAAGGACCAACGCCTCGTCGTCTGGATCACGTGGTGTGTTTATTGCGCTCTTCATCACCCAGATCACCACTTCTTTAACTCGACAACTCAGCGATTCGTCTTGGTAATATCAGTTCATAAATGTTCAATTGTGTCTTGTCCTTTGATCTGAACATGGATGGATTATTGCACTGAGCTACGTGTGTCATCTCGGGTCCTCAGTGCTCTATTGGTTAGGTGAGATGTCTCGTTGCCAGCAGACCCATGCAGGACGTCACGCCCCCACCAAGGCGCTCTTCTGTCACTGAGTTCGTTGTTACCACCATCACACACACACACACACACACACACACACACACACACACACACACTCATTAAATACACCATCATACACACACATACAGTCAACAGTAATTAATACAGATACACAAACGACCACATTCTAACTCACAAATCACTATAACAAATTCAACGTTTCTCTTCTTATTAACAATGGTTCGGAATATATATATCGATCATTCGTCTCTTTCTCAACCAAATTTCCTGGCAAACAGTGATCTTAGCCGCGAACGGTACTATAATGGCCAAGATAATTGTCACAAATAACTACCAACTGAACATAAAACAGTGAAAAAATATATAGCTCAAGGTTACGTGGTCAAAGCCGTGCCAGAATATATAATTAAATATTTGTCTTAAGGGTGGCGTTGTATGTGAAACAAATTCTGGCTTATACTGAGGATTTTTAGTAACATGTTGAATTAAGAGTTACTATACATGCCAAAGACTTGATGTGAACACCAAATGAAAACTAATAACAAAATACCATTAAACAAATAATATAAAACAAAGAAAAACAAGATATATGTTCTAGAAGTGAGTTTGTTTTGGAGACATTCATTGAAGACGGCATTAGTGAAGGCGGAGGAATGCGAGCACAGACGCCAGCACACGGAGAGGGGTTACTGGGGGAAGGTTCACTGGCATCTAGACATGTCCTCCAGTATACAACTTTCGTAATGAGAAAATGGGATTAATAATTAACAATTCCAGATAACAGAATGAATAAAAAAGACTAGAGTAATTATATTTTCTCTCCAAATACAATAAAATCAGTTTCCCAATAAAGAAGACAAATGTGGCAGTACCTAATAACACAACGGAAAGAAACAATAAGACCCAAGCTACTTCACGTGATAAAAGAAAGATATATAAGAGGAAGAGGCCACAGAAACAACTTTAATTTAGTTAGCGAGGAGCTTGGCTGGCACCTGAGGCCGGCCACCACAACTCCAGCTATCTGCCGCAACACCGTCGATACAACACATTTTCCAACACAATAAACTCAAAAACAGTCAGTAATAACAACATAACTTACAAAATATGTAACATGACAAGCAGAACAACTGTATTTTCTGTAATGTTTAATATCTGTTGCCTAGTTTCAACCTACCAAAGACCTTACTTGTTGAAGCTCAGATATACAACTAAGTCTTGGTACAGAATAAAACTCATGACAAGAAAACACGTTTAAAATATTTATTCTAGACAATACTGCCGTGTTGACCAAGATAAGAACACAAACAATGTTTACATAAATCAAGTCGTATCTATAAAGGTCTATTCTTGTTGACTATTAAACAACCTACCACTATTTACTAGTATGTATTATTCCTCGTAAACAAAGAAAAAAGAACTCAACTAACCATTTAATTTAAACTAAAAAGCAACATATCATCGGAAAATAACAGAAATTACAGACACTATCAGAACTACACTCAACACTATTTACGAGATAAATTAAGATACAGATTCATTTAACATATATTATCTACCTTAACTGTTATTAAGTAAAGGTTTAGTCCGAGTGTAATGTGAATGTCTCCGGCCTTACCCAAGTCTCCCGTACTCCTGCAGGGTTTATATGTGGAGAGGGCTGTGGTCTCAGCGTGAACCAAATAGGTTTTTACACAGCTGTTATTCTCGTCAGTGTCCGTGTTGAGGGTGTCCGTGTTGAGGGTGTCCGTGTTGAGGGTGTCCGTGTTGAGGGTGTCCGTGTTGAGGGTGTCCGTGTTGAGGGTGTCCGTGTTGAGGGTGTCCGTGCAGCTGTCGGTCTTGGCTGGTGTGTAAGTGGCAGTGTTATTATCTTGTGGGATAATTCTGGTAAACTATTATATTCAAGAGACTAAGAAATACATCAGGGGCCCCACAAGGTCACCCAAACTCACCAGTTGTACAGCTGGGTTATGGGGAGACATCAAGAGACCAAGACATCAAGACACCAAGACATCAACACACCAAGACATCACTCACTTATAAGACCAATACCACTGTGGTGCCTAGTTAGTTGAGTCAGGAAGCTCTATGAGTGCGTCTCCTGACTGACCCATTGAGACACTTCTTCCCTCGCTTGATTCGCCTACTTCTACTGCTACTACTTTGCTGTCACTCGGAATCGAGTATGACGATCATCCAGCTATGGTACAATGATATGAGTTAACAAGGATGTCACCTTCGTTGGTGAGCTCTGAGGTGACACGAGAGGCCGATACGGGACTGGCAGGGTCGTTCACATTTGTTGCAGGTATGGAGGGTTACATATAGTGCGGGAGGGGCGGCGGCAGCGTCCTTCCGGTGTTGGCGCATGTCTGCCTGGGTATGCAGTCGGGCTAACTCGAAAGTGTGGAGTAATCGTCTCCCAGGTTTGTCTTAAGACTATCCTTATTACCTTTTCAGTTGCCCGACAGCGTTACGTTTACTGTTCGTTAGGTGACTGGCAGTCTACTGTCGTCCACGGGGGTAACATGACCAGTCCAGTGTAGTGACTGGCAGTCTACTGTCGTCCACGGGGGTAACATGACCAGTCCAGTGTAGTGACTGGCAGTCTACTGTCGTCCACGGGGGTAACATGACCAGTCCAGTGTAGTGACTGGCAGTCTACTGTCGTCCACGGGGGTAACATGACCAGTCCAGTGTAGTGACTGGCAGTCACTGTCGTCCACTGACCAGTCCAGTGTACTGGCAGTCTACTGTCGTCCACGGGGGTAACATGACCAGTCCAGTGTAGTGACTGGCAGTCTAGTCTACTGTCGTCCACGGGGTAACATGACCAGTCCAGTGTAGTGACTGGCAGTCTACTGTCGTCCACGGGGGTAACATGACCAGTCCAGTGTAGTGACTGGCAGTCTACTGTCGTCCACGGGGGTAACATGACCAGTCCAGTGTAGTGACTGGCAGTCTACTGTCGTCCACGGGGGTAACATGACCAGTCCAGTGTAGTTGTTCATGGATAATGGTAGCCTCGATGCTCCTACAGTTGGTGTCAACGAGAATACTGGCATTTGTTCTCTTGTCTTCCCAGTGAACTAGAAGGACGGAACGTAGATTACGTTGGTGAAAGTTTCCAAGTGCCTTGAGGTGCTTCCTGTATGTGACCCATGTCTCACTGCCATGTAGCAGGGTGGGGAGGACCACTGTTCGATATACAGTACGTGCAGCTTTGTAGATAATTTTAGCTCCCTACAGCTGAAGACACGGGTACGGAGTCTGCCAATGGCTTGAGATGCACATCTGATCCGATGCTGAATCTCTTCATCAATGTCCGCGGTGGTGGACAGGTGGGAGCCGAGATACTGAAGGTGGGCAACATTAGAGAGGGTGGTACCGTGGATGGTGGTGTGGCTGAACACCCACCATCATCATTATCCCTACTATGAAGTAACAAGAGGTTAGGTGAGACCCACAACCATTATCAGCCACACCATCAGCTAGGGGGACACTTCAACTCTCCTTCTGCAGACATGCGTCACTTAACCCTGGTCACGTGATGGATGACGTCATAATATATACAGGGGGTGTCAAAATAAGCACACATTTTTAACGGGTTATAAAGAGAAGAAGATCCGTTATATCGTGGGTCCGTTATATATGAAACCTCTACTTAACGAATTATACGGAAAGAGAAGTCCGTTATATGGAGGTTTAACAGTATTCCACACGATCTCCACAAAAATCTGTAATAATCTGTCTATAACTCTTTCTGAGACACACTGTACTGTATATAATCGTCTATAATCCTGATAATATAAACCTGTATAATTATCTCTGTGTTTTAATCTCGTGTTTAACTCCATCAATATAAAAACTAGATAAAGGATGATTGAGTCCATCCTAACCTAACCTAACCAAGCTTAACCAAACCTAATCTAAAGTAATGTAACTCATCTAATGTAACACAGTACATAACATGCAAGACAGGAGGCCGCAGACAAGACAGGAGGCCGCAGACAAGACAGGAGGCAACAGGCAGCCATCACTGTTGTCTGAGATAAACGGTGTTCACGGAGTCGCTGTTTCCCGTTACTAACAAAACTACCCCGTCTTGTGTCATGTATGTATGTATGT